AAAAACGTACAATATGAAGGAGAACAACATGTTTTAGCAAAACTAAGTTTTTCGACCAGTTTACGGATGCGAAGGGGATACTTACGGGGAGTAAGATTAGAAGCATCAGAAGAAGGAGGATCAACAATAGGGGTAGAGACAACTAGTTGAGGGAGAGCCATGCAACGAGAATAAACTAACAATGGAAGAGGAGCAGATTCATGGGGTTCAGTGGAGAAAGACTCAGCAGGAGGGGTGGTAGCAGGAGAAAAAGGAAGGTGGTCATACAGAACAGTAGAGATGTATTCATCAAGAGGGCCCTTAGAAGGAAATGAATCAATGTGAACCAAATCCTCTTTGGAAACTAGAGCAGTGATCGGCACAAATTGAAAGTAAGGCAGACGTTCGAGAAAAGAAACATGACGGGAGACGTAAAGACAATGGGAAATAGGATCGTAACACCTATAGCCTTTCTAAGTAAGACTATAACTTAAAAAGACACATAGGACAGTCCAGACACTAAGTTTGGTCCAATCTTTACAGGGAAGAAGGACAAAACAAGCAGACCCAAACACACGAAGGAGGGAGTAATTGGGAAGTTGAGAAAACATAGCCTCATAAGGAGACCGACCAAAAAGAGGGAGAATAGGCATGCGATTAAGAAGAAAAGCAATGGTAAACACTGCCTCTCCCTAAAACGAAGCTGGAACTAAGGAAAAGAGAAGAAGAGACCTAGCTGTCTCAAGGAGATAACAGTATTTACGCTCGGCTTGACCATTTTGGACAGGGGTATCAATACAAGAAGTTTGGTGAATGGTACCCAAATTGGCCAAATACTCACAGAACACAGTTTTAAAATATTCCCCACCCAAGTCAGATCGTAACAATTTAATGGTAGCCCTAAGCTGTATAGTGATCATAGACTGAAATGTACGATATATTTGGTAGAAGTCAGATTTATAAGTCATAAGATAAACCTAAGTATAACGGGTGCAATCATCAACAAAAGACACATAGTATGCGGAACCCCCTTTAGTAAAAACATGGAAGGGTCCCCAGACATCAATATACACAAGAGAAAATGGACAAACTGAAACAGAAGCACTTTTATTAAAAGGTAAAGCTGACATTTTGGCAAGTTTACACCTCCAACATTCATCAATTTGACTAAGAAAAACTTTACCCAATAATCCTAACTGAGCTAAAGACTTTAAGAGGTCAACAGACAAATGACCTAGGCGAGAATGTCACAAGTAAACCTGACTCGATTGAGAATCTAACTGAAATGATGAAAAAGCAACTGCAGAGATGAACAGAGGGAGATGCAAGCTTTCTACCACATAGAGATCTCCAACTTTACAGTCGGGTCGCAATCTGCTTCTCGGACACCCGATACTACACACAACAGACAAAAGAGGTAAAGATAACATCAAAATCAGAAGTATCAAGTTGACTGATACATAATAAACTGACAGATAGCTAAAGAACACAAAGAATAGAGAGAATAGTGAAAACAGACATGGTAGAGGGTAAGACAGACCCAACAGATAGAACAGGCATACCAGACCTATTACCAATATTAACAGTAATAGGAGAGGGAGGGAGATACAGTTTTGAAGTAAGGAAATGTGAGGAGTCATATGATGAGAGGCATCAGAGTCAAAAAGCCAGACAGAAGAGGAGATACCTGAAGAGGACCCAAACAAACATGAATGAAGAAAGGTGAGAGCAGAGGCAAATGGGGATGGCTGGGAGGTGGACAGGAGATGCTAAAATTGAGCCATCTAGGCACATAAGGAAGCCGAGTCAAGATCAGAAGCCGAAGCAGATGCAGTATAAGCAGCAAGAGGTCAAAATTGTATCTGAGGCGGCTGAGAAGACTGAGCAGACTAAAGTCCCTTCTTGGGACAGTTATACTTCCAATAGCCCTTCTGATAGCAAAAAACACACTCATCAGAGGCTAGTGGCCCCTTCTTGGGCTTTGCATTAGCCTGATGCTGATAAAGTGATGGGGTTGACAACAGAGGAGGCTGAGTAGGAGCTAAGAAGACAGATGGAGACAGAGCTTGACTGGCCGTCTTAAGACGGGTTTCCTTGAAGAGGAGCCCACGAACAATAGCATCCACAGAAAGGAGAGGAGACCGATGAAGGATGCCACCACAGATAGCCTCATACTGAGTGGAGAGAGCCGTTAAGAACTGCACTAAACGACCTTGCTCCCAAAACTCAACATAAGTGTCTAGTGCCTTGAGGCTAGATGGTTCCATGAGAGCCAATTGATCCCATAGACCTGTCATTTCGATGTAGAAGTCCTGAATAGATTGATCCCGCTGACGAGCACTCTGAATAGCTGTTTCCAACTCATACTGCTTGGCAAAGTTGGACTCCTGACACATACCTAATAAATAGTCCCACACCTCCTTGGCAGTATTGTATTTGGAAAACATCATTCCAATACAGTCATCCACAGCATTATAAAACCGGGTCAGAACTTGGGCATTATCGCAATCCTAAGTATCACAGGAAGTCAGATATCCTTCTTGTTTCGGGTCCAATGGACGAGGAATAGAACTAGAAACATAGCCCCATTTTTTCTGACCAAGAAGGAAATTCTTTATAACACTAGCCCAATAAGCATAATTGGCACTAGTGAGTTTACATCAGATGGCTTGTGTTTTGGTGTCCGTCATTGTAATAAACCAAAGATTTAGAGGTTAAAGTATAATAATAACTAACAAGTGGGCCAAACTATAAATAAAATTTTTTAATCCAAGTAACAATACTGAAAGATCAAAGTTACAAACAGAGAGAGATACAAACAGAGCATCAGACGAAGGAATAAAGGGTCCATGGTGATGTATCGACCTAAGAGAGAGATTGAAACCCACGAACCAGAAACAGAGATCAAATCGTCGGTCAAATAGACCCGACGAACCACGATGTGTGTTTGAGGATTTGAGCCACAGAAAGAGAGACGAACAATCCCTGAGTCGCAACTTTAGACCAGACACCAAAGGACTATCACAACTTCGAAGAAGACCAGAGAACAAAGAGGCCTTCGCAACTTCAGAAAAGCCTAAAGAAGACTCCGAACAACAGGCTTGAACGCACAGAAAGAACTTCGAAAGATTAAGGCCAGACCTAGGATTTCGAACGTGGCTCTAATACCATGTAAGACTTCTGAATGTTTTTCTATATTTTCAAATTGTATCTAATACAAAGCTTAGAACTGATATATATAACAATCCTAAACCTAATCTAAAATAGGAAAGAGGAATAACCCTATACAATCACAATCAATCTAAAATATACAATTTACCTAATTGATATATTTCCATAATTAACATAATATTCTCTCACTTGTGACGCCTTATGTTCGTCCTGAAGATCAATTGGGTGATATTCTCACCAAACCTTTGGCTCGGTCTTCGTTTCATCGTTTATCGGTCAAGCTGGGCATATTTGATCTCAATGCTCCAAATTGAAGGGAAGTGTGAGAATAGTTATTTTTTGTTCTCTTGTTCTTTTGTTAATATTTACTTAAATTGAGGGTACGATGGTCATATTACAATATTAGGGTTCGTATATATATATTTTGTTGATGTAGAGTTGAGAATACAATTTTCAAGATATATAAAATTTATTCCTCTTCTCTTATCTCCTCTTCTTCCTCTTAAATCCTAACCCTAAATTTCTTCATTTTACATTCTAACTACTGTGAAATTAACTCAACAAATTGAACAATTTTCTCTACCTAATTTATGATGAAACAAAGAGTAACATAATTTTTCATTGAAATTTGTTAAGTTCCCAAACATCTAATCCCTATTAAGGTGGTCGATATCAATCTACAAAGTGTATGCAAATTGCTATGTGTAGTCTATAGTTAGATAATGAAGTAAAACACCAACTCCCAACTACTTTTGATTCTTTACTCTTCCTACGTAACGAACTGAACTACAACGAGAACAATACTCTTTCCATATATATATGCAAGCATTATGATGTCCTTCAACATAATATTGTTATATCCTGTTCTATTTATGCTTATGCCTTATCTGATCTAAACATGGATTGTGTTGAAATATGCTCCTGTTTTTGACAAGAGGTCTCTTTTAATCAATATTTACCCATCACCACTGTTGGCTATTGTTAAAATCCACCTACTCTCCACTAAACCTAACCCACTTAAACCTACTCCACTAAACCTAACCCACTACAACACTACCACCTCACCTACTCCACTAAACCTAACCCACTACACCACTACCACCTCCACTTCACCTACTCCTTACCTACTACACACTCACCCTCTTCTATATATAGGAATCATGAATCATTGTAATATACATCAAAACATCAATCAATAATACAACCATTTCTCTTTATACATTAAATTTCTACAGCTATTTCATTATCACCAAACCATTGAGAGATGGAAAGAAACCACAGCAGAGTAGGATTATATACGAGAATTACTCGTCACTGTTCTGCTGTTTTGATACTTTCTAAAATTCAAAGAAAACTTTAAAATATTTTAGAAAATATACTCCACTACAGGTAGAGAGGCCAGATAGTAGGTTGCTTTTTATATGTTTAGGAGAAAAACATCTACTAGCTAGCTCTTGTCTTGTAAGAAACTATGCATATATAATTTTTAATTATTTATTTTTAATAATTTATTTGGCATTATTTTAATATATTTATGATGTAATTATGACATCAGTGGTTGATTCCCATTCAATTCTGGTAAGACTTCTGCTTGAACTACTGACTCGTAACCTGATCTCTTTGGCAATCCACTTAAAATTCTAAGGTCTAAAACATTGCCTGCAAACCCAAATTATAAGAAAAAGGCTTTCGCATATGTTGTGTATCCGTGTTCAGTGTAGTGTACTTGTCAGAGGAAAAAAAAAAAAACACAATAGTAATGTGTAATGTAGGTCACGGCAAGAGACAATTTTAAAAAGTTCCAAAAGAATCATCAAATATAGGAGATGAGCAGCAGTAGCATATCAAACCTCAAACTCAATTGGCATGATTGTTCTGCCTGTATTAGACACTTCATCACACTGCACAATGCGAAAAACTAACATACTTAATATAGTGCATCCTAGATATATCAAATTTTTAATAATAAATGTTTCTAAAACAGGATAGACAAAAACATTTCAAATAGTAGAAGAAATCATGGATCAAGATGCGACATCGAGATTCAAAGATTCTGGAGAATGTCTAAAAATGTCCAAAGAAAATGTATTGTACTTCAACAGATGTAAAGTAACCAACTATGCAAGTACCTCACACACTACATAAACGTTACTTCATGCTATTGATAACTCGAATGATACTCTCTCAAACAAAAAGCTGGCAAATGGATATTTGCATAAATTTGTTAGTTTTGTAACAGGGATCTGCTCCACATATGGTAAGACAAGCAACAAGGAAAGGCATCTAGATTATGTGAACAATAAGCAATAATGATGGAAAGACTGGAGGGAGCAACAACCATGAATATTGAGCCTTCATATTTATTAAACACTGATATCCAGTAACAAAATTGCAAGAACATCCCCTGAAGTTTTTCCTTTGGGGAAATCCCACAGATTTCGAAAATGGCATAGACCTACCCAACCATTAAGGAAAACTAACAAATCAAGGGAAAAATAGTAAAAACAAATAAAATAGAAAACTATCCATCAGAAATAGGGTGTTGGGCTGGATTAGATGTATATAATTCATTCCATACAACTTTGAGCCTCTCCTATTGTCTATTGCCTTATTAAAGACAAGTCTAAATACTACTTAGCCACCAATTCCATTCTAGCACCAGTCTAGAACACCAACTTTAATAAGTCAAAATACTACTTAGCCACCAATTCGATTCTAGCACTAATCTAGAACACCAGTACCATAAAATAACACAAACTAACTGTATATCCCACTCTAACATCACCGAAAAGGGCAATAGGTTCCCACAAGGAGTGTGTCTCTACTGCAGCAGAGTAAAGGAAGTGGCCATAACATGTTGAGGCAAAAAGATACACTACGTTACTTTAGCATTAATGATGCCCCCCCTCTCTCTCTCTCTCTCTCTCTCTCTCTGGGGTATAGGTTCTTGCTTTGTAATTTCAAACATTTCAATGTATATGCAATGAATTTTTGGAAGATTTTTAAGGACACTTTAATAACAAGTTCTTGGTGATACTTGGAAGCTATGAAGGACATTAACCATGATGGGGGATTGTTGGGGTAGAGTGGATCCTGATAAATACTGATCATTGACCACTTGACCTCAAATCCAACTATAAATACATCCTTTCAAACGTTTCCCAAATTTTTTGGAGTAAAGGTATTTTGATATTTCCGCACTCGTGTCATGTTGCCCTAATTTCTATGTGTATTTATAGTTGAAGGGAGACAGCTATCTTTGTAACTTATAATTCTATAGTCGTGGATGTAACCATAGTTTTGGGGTGAACCACGTAAATCGTTGTGTTCCGTGTGCGCACTTGCTTTTCGTTTCTTGTTCTTGTTCCTGTTTGTGTTTTGCATTTCACCAATCCTAGTTAGGTGTATCAATTCCTAACATATGATAAGTATGAAAACTTGGCTAGATAGAAACCCTTGGTACGGCTAATCAAGATTAGTCCAGGGCTTGATGTATGGATAATATTGCTTGGTGTTTCATTGATTATATTATGAATTAGTAGAATTTAGATCCCACGAACAACATTTTATCTTGTTAAATATTATAATTTTGGATGAAAGTCAGTTGGACGGAAGAGATGCATCATGTGACTAAATATTTTGGGTTTCCAATATCACAACATAAGACTTAATTAAAATAAATGTATTCAATTGCTACTCCAACACAACCCACCATTAACTCTCTCTACATCTTCCTTTCCCTCATTATTATCTCTATCACAACTATTCGATTTGGAGTCTCTGATTGACGAAGATTATGATTGGGTTCCACTAACTGGAGGTGGTGAAAATCAATTTCTGGTTGAAGATGATGGTCACTGAGACGTAGCTTCAGCCTTAATACAAGTCGATCACAGATTCACAACGACCATGAAACTCAGCCACAGTGACCATGAGATGTAGCTTCAGCCTTTCTCTGTGTGTTTTTTGAGAATTGTTGAAAAATGAGATTGAATGTAGTTATACTAAATCTAACACCCCACAGATCCATCTAAGCCATCACCATAACAAATTCCCTTGCAATAATAGAACATTGAAGATGAACATGAACATCCCAGATTTCAATGAAAGAGATCCATTAGGATTTACTAGGGGTACGAATATTCATTGTCGTAAATTGACAATCCATTTTTAGGGGAAAAAAACTTAGTGATCGAAGGTCTCAGTATAGGGTTCAAGAATCGCCCATAAAATTTAGAGTAACAAAAAATAAAGAAATGTCCAATTGTTTTAAGTTTTTGTATCCACATCTATGTTAAATTTAAGATGATCAAAACATTGTAGTTTAGTAATACAACCCAAAACACCTCTGAAACTTTTTAACATGAGATCAATTGGGATACCCTCTGAATAAATAGCTAGCAATTAATGCATATAGATACATATTGCTTATGCATTTATGATACTAAAATAAGCAAAAATCAAAACCAATAGTGCTAGACACTAAATGGACACAGATTAAACACAATAAAAATAATGAATATAGCAACTCTTGACATATTTAACTTTAGAAAAGAAGTGCAAACAGAATAACCAAAAGCATCTATTGTCTGGTTGTAAGCAGACCTGAATATATGGAAAATAGATGTCCTTCAATTTGCATTGGAGTTGCGCTATGTCCAAGCCTCTCATTTTAGGCTCAAAAATCTCAACCTATCAAATTTAATAATAACATTTAGTTAAAACCAGATCAATACACAATCAAAAAAACATACTAGTAGCCTAGCATAGGGATTGGGGCTACGAGCACAATTAAAAATCTAATGCTACACTATGAGAAATGAATATCTTATATATGGAATTATTGTTAAAACAAGCTAAATCATGGCATGAAATATCAACACCACACCAATTTATCTCCAAACCATAGCATGAAACATTACAACATATCAATGACCAATAACATATGGAGGCACCCTAAGTAGCATGGTTACTTCTAGGGAGGATCCATGTATGTGTCACACTTCCAACACTTTTTGAATAATCCTATAAATCTGCCTGATATTTTTCGAATGAGTAGTGATTGATAAATAGAACTTTATAATTTGTTACTCTATGGCAATACTTCTCAAACACTTATAATTGACAATCTCCAATATGAGCTACACGGTGAATCTCTTAATGATAAGGATTTTAGAAGGACATTCTTGGGAATGCAACTCACACACCAAAAATGTCTCTTCAAACATTTCAAAACAAAGCGTATGCAATTGGACAACTTTAAACATAGTAAATGACCATAGTAATAAAGAACAAAAAATTAATGTAGTAAGAAAGCAAGTTATAAGAATGTTCATAATATATATGATATCTGTGGAGCTTCAAGTTCCTTATTTTGGACTTATACGAGAAAATATATAAATAACAAATTAAATTACAAAGTTTTTACAACATTCCTTTTATTAGAATGTGCATCATATATATGATAATTGTGGAGTTTCAAGTTTGGTATTTTGCAAATATAAGAGAATATTTAGATAACAAATTAAATTACAAAGTTTTTACAGCATTCTTTCTAATAAAAGGTATACACTAATTGTTAAATTTCAGATAAAGAAAGAAAGATGAGAGAAATATAAGAGAAACAACACAAACGAATTAATGTGGTTTGGCACATTGTGCCTACATCCACGGATCCAAATGCACTAGGCTACATTGCATTGATTCACTTGGATAATCTTTATACAAGAGCAACACCTATATCTATATAGGTGGAAAGTGGTTGTGGTCGCCGTAACGGTGGGGGTGGCACGGTTGCGATTGTGGTTGCGGTTGCGGTCGCAGGGCGTAAAGGCTGTAGCGTAACGGTTGCGGTAACCGGAACCATGAATTTTTTATTTTTCACACAATTTGAAAAAAACTTACCGATACGCATATTTTTTTTCCATGATCATATTTATTGGGTTTGAAATAAATATTGATCAATGTTTATAAATTTTTAAGTATGATCCAATATATTTCATATTTTTAAATCACTATAAACTGAGTTTTTTATATTTTATTTTAATAATTAATGACTTTATATTATACAAAAAATCAATCACTAACTATTATATACAAGATAAACAACGGAAAAAGTAAAAGAATAAATAAGAGCCTATATATATACATATTTTAAGCAAGCCAAATAAATAAAGACCACACTTATTATTATTATTATCAAACACTATATAGATAGACACACACAAACAAAATGGTTGAGTGATAGCAGCTGAATAGAATAGCAGGTCTTACAGCTTCAACAAATCAATAACATGTTCTTCATCTTCCTTCTTCTCTCTCTCTATCTCTTGTTCCTCCATCTTCTCTCTTTATCTTCCCTTTTCTATCCTTCTTTCCTCATTTTTAGCCTTTTTTTTGTGTTTTTTCGAAAGAAGCAGTTCGGAACTGTTATGTAACAGTGCGTAACAGGTCGTTACGGCTGTTATGGCACCGTTACGACCACTACGGCAGCCGTTATGGCCAACACACCAGTGAATCTCAAATCACACTGCAAAAGCGGCCGTAACGGATGGCGGTAACCACCACAACCGTTACGTAACGGCGTTACGTAACGGTTGCGGCCACTTTTTAAAACCTTGGGTGGAATGAAACCGCATGAGATTTGATATAAATATCAAAATACGTAAATCATGCCAATATAATGTCCATAATCAACGGATTTGATTTACCCATGAATCACAGGATCTGATCTTCATTAAATATGATCTTATCTTCAATACTCCCCCTCAAGTTGGAACACGGAATGGTTGATTGAAGTGTCCAACTTGAACTTGCATACTAATGATCAAACGGTATTGGTTGTTGCAGAGACACTAGTTGTTGAAGTACAGAAAGACGCATTGTGTGAAATCACTAAATATGTGGCTACAATGAAATTTTTGGTAGTGTGCAGAGAATGCGGCTTTGATCAATAAGGCATGAGATGATACAGTGTGAAAAAATAGAAATGTGTGCATGAAATTTATCCATCATGCAAACAAAAGAGAAAGGCACAAAATGAATGTCGTACAATGAAGATAATACTCCCCTCAAATGACAACTTGGGAGAAAAATCTACGAGGAATCAAACATCTTGCAAACAGATAAATGTGCATGAAATGAACGTCATGCAAACACAATAAGCACAAAATGAACATTGTGCAAATCACTGCAACGGCCTAAACAAGCCACCTGCAACAACCAATCATAGACTGCAAAAATTTTTAAAAATAAAATTAAAAAAAAAAGGAAAAATAACAATTTGGCAACCTACAAAAGTGGGCTTCTTCAAATCAAAAAAACATGACAGTGGAAAAGCCTATCATCAACAACTCTAGCAGAAAAGGTGAAGACAAAATCAACCCTGGCGATGATAAAGAGAAAACGACCAACACTCAGGTCTTTAAAATGATGACGGAAAATTACTTTTTGGGGAGTAGTGACGGATCATACCATTTGCTGAAAAAGTTGAATAAGCGGAATAATAATAGTCAAGGATCTGCTCTGATACCATGTTAAATTTAAGATAAAGAAAGAGAGATGAGAGAAATATAAAAATGTTAAGTTAGATGAAGAGTAGTTTTGTCTTTATGCTCTTATTTGATTAGTAAAAATACATATTGTTATAGAGGGGAAAACCCAATCTAAGGTTTTATGCCTCTTTCCTAATAATCTTTTTCTCTCTATTATTTTCTCTTCTCTCTTCTTACTCTTAAACTTGTTCTTATAATTTTAACTTGGTATCAGAGCACATAAGTTTTTCTTCTATTCTTTCTTTTGGTTCTATTCGTTTTGTTCTTTTTTGTTCGATAATGTAAAAAATAAAATAAAATACCAGGATGCTCAACTAGGACTAGGAGTTCCCCCCCCCCCAAAAAAAAAAAAAAAATTTCAATTTTTCATTGTTTTTTGAAAAAATGGACCCTATTTTCGATGTGCGAGTTCTGTCAGTTTTTTGCTGGATCCAGGGCTGGGAATCCCCCTCTATAGGAGCCGACTAAACCTTTTGTGGTCTTTCCTGGTGTTGTTTGCTACTCCTAGCTTGTGTTTCGGTCTCATAGTTCTGTTACGGGTGCTCTAGGCTATGTTTTCCTCAACTTTTGCGTTTTCTAGGCCGTTTTTGGCTCCTTTGAGACTCTTTATTGCTTGCTGAGGATGTTCCATCTTCCTCTCTGTTTTTGGGGTATAGTTGCGTTTTCTTAGTCCATGGCTGAAGACAGCAAGAACCCTGTAATCAGTGAGGCGAAAGGTTTGGGTTCTACTATAACTCGTAGTGATAAGTCCTCTCTTCATTTGACTACAGTCGAGTTGGATGGCACCAACTATCTGGTTTGGTCACGCTCTTTTTAGTTGGCCATTACTGCTCATGGTATGTTGGTCACATTCTTTCTGTGGTATGTTGGGTTATGCAACAGGAGTTCCTAAGGCTCCCAAGGAGGATGGACTAGGATGTCACAAATAGAATAAGGAGAATGCACTTGTTATGACTTGGTTAATCAATTCAATCCATCCAACCATTAGCCAGTCCTTTGTGTTGATGGATACTGCTCATGAGATTTGGAGTGCTGCCTTCCAGATGTATTCTCAATGTGGTAATGATGCCCAAGCATACGAACTACAGAAAAAGATTTGAGGGTTTGATCAGAAGGATAGATTTCTTACAGAGTACTATGCCAAGTTGAGCAATTTGTGGCAAGAACTTAATTATTATCAGGACTTCCAAGCTATCTGTTCCCGAGTTGCCACTACCTTTCAGCAAATGGTATCCAAGGAGTATGTCTATGATTTCCTTGCTAGTCACAACCTGGAGTATGATTAGATTCGTGTTCAGGTTCTTAGTCGCTAGTCGTTTCCTATTGTGCGTGAGGCCTATGCTTATGTTCTGCAGGAAGAGAGCTGGCGGAATGCTATGGTTCATCACCCTCTTCAACACCGATATGCTTTAATTGTTTCTTCTACTCCCACAAATGGGAAATTTGGTCCATCCAAGTCTGGGGGTAAAGATCCCTCTAGTGATCGTGATTATATTATTTGTGATTATTGCGGGAAAGAACAACATGATCTAGAACATTGCTCGAAGTTACATAGTTGTCCTAACCGAGGGCGAGGTAGTGGTTGTCGTGGTACCAGTAACTGCGGTGGCATTGTTCGCTCTTATGCACGTGGTGATCTTTTTTCCAATGATGAGTTACATACTCGCCAATGTCTGATGGCTGAACTTAATTCTTCTTCTGCCACTGCTTCTAATCCTCCTTCCTTCAACTTTGTTTCCATAGATATTCCTACAAGTGCCTTGAGGGCTTTTTCTTCATTCCCTTGGATTATTGATTCCGGTGCTACCAATCATATGATAGGTTTGTCCACCCTTTTCCCCTCTTACTCTCCTTGTTCGGGTAAAGATAAAGTAAGAGTAGCTGATAGGTCCTTATCCTCTGTGTCTGGCACAAGCTCTATTCACTCTATTCCCCATCTATTTCCCTCCCATCTGTTCTTCATGTTCCCAAGTTCTCTACTAATTTACTATTTATTAGTTGCATTACCAATTCCTTAAATTGTTTAGTAACTTCTTCCCTTCTCATTGTGTTTTTCAAAAACTGGGTACGGGGAGAACTATTGGCAATGGTAGAGCACATCGGGGACTGTATTTTTTGGATGTTAGATCTTTTGTCACT